AGAAGAAAATTTCGTTTAGAGAAAAACGGTCGAAAAAAAGAAAAAATATATGTATATATTTTATTGCCAGCCGAAGTGCGCGCGCTTAACTGACTAACCAGAATGTTGAGGTTGTGGTATGTAGCAAGAGCTGTCAAAATTTAAAATACACTAAATACTTTAAACTGCCCATTACTGCACTGTAGCTGTGGTTGTGGTGTATTATTGCTGATGTAGCTAGCGAAATAGTTGTGGCTGTGGTACTACATTCTGGTTAGCCAGTTATTGATATTCTTAAGACTGGCTTGTTACTTACATTAATCTTAGTGCTATTTACACTAGCGCTTTTCCATGCGCTACAGCGACTATGGAGCGATCTTTTAGTACACTTCGTAGAGTAAAAATCTGGCTCAGAACACAACAGGAGACGAAAGGCTTTCTGGATTATGCCTTATGAGCGTCCATAGAAAACTCGTTACCGAAAACCGCGAGATGTTTCAGGAGAAAATAATCGAAAACTTTTCCGAAAAACCGATTAAATAAATATACAAATATTTTTAACAAGTATATTTCGTTTTGCCCCTCCTTACATCAGATCCTGGCTACGCCCTGGCCAGGTTTACGAAAGCAATGCAAGTGAAACATGATTTCTTTTCTTCCAATTTAATATGCAAACTTACAGAACGAAAACAATTATTCTTCACTTAAATTGCTGGTGAACGATGCGTTCTACTGTAAAGGTCTTGGATTTTTTTGTATTTGTAGAGAATTAAACGCTCTATACAAAAAAAAGTCTGAAGTCATTTTTCGATAAGTCAACTCGGTCAAAAGTTATTCAAGGTCAAATTCGAATTCACCATTAAACAAAACCAATTAAGTTTCAAGTTTCCAAAATTTTTGTTATAATTTTTAATAGCTATCGGCAATTTGTGTAAATCACTTTTTATTTTTGCTAATCGTACTTTTACATGCATCAACAAAGATTGCAATCACTAATCGTATTAAAACATCTTTGCTCTACACATGTTAGCGTGCGTACTATAAACTAATAAAAAAGGTTTATTTTTAATTAATGCCAATTCTACAGAAACCAGATGTTGCCAATCGTAAGTAAACAACTGTTAAACGTGAGTAAGAGCTTAACTGACAATATATGTCAACGTATCATTTAATAGCTATTTAGTAGTCACAATTGACAACTCAGAGAATGAGTAAATACCTGAGTAGTTACATATTTTAACTGTATTTCTATAGAGCAGATAAACTCTTAAATTTTAAAAGAATTTTTTATTAACATAGATGATTTTATTGCGAGTAAATTGAAGTTGGATTATTCTTGAATGAGTTGAGTTGAATGACTGCGGCAACGCAGCACAGTCACTGAACGGTGAAGTTGGGGATGTGAGAAACGCTTTACAAAAGAATTGAGTAGTGTTAGATATTTGCTCTCAAGCCACTACCTATGGTAGAAACTTGTTTATTGAATGATTTTTCATTTGACTTGCAAAAGCATTTTCTATTTATCAAATAATAGCCAAAACCATGCGTGCGTTGCCACTAGGGGTGTTAATCCCGAGATCCCGGCCTATTTTTTCAAATCTTTCTTTTTTTTAAATAAACATTTGTTCAATTCCGTCTCTTGATTGTAGAATTTGCATACTTGAAAATTTTGAAAATCGACAAAATGGCAGCGGTTTTTGGAAAAATAAAAAAATGGGAGAAATTTTCTCGAAAACATCATTTAAAATTTTCTTGAAAATTTGTTTATGGTTACTAGATAAACCCACTAAAACGCCTCAAAAGCCGTAACATTTTTTTTCTGAAAATAAGAAGACTCAGTATTTTGGGTAATGTAGCGCCATACATGATGCATATGGGGCGTTCCACACCAAAATGGACGGGGTTCACATTTCATGTTTTTGATTTGTTTCAGCTTTTTAGGGTTGATGTATAAACATAAATAATAAATAAATATGAAATTGAAGCTTGATTAAGACATTTTAAAAAAACTTTACAGCGCAAAACGCAAAAACAAATCGATTTAATAGTTTTCCAAATATCTCGAGAACGGGGACAGGAAAAAATTCGAAAAAAATCACACATACACACATCAAAATTCTCTTTGAAAAGAAATATTTTTTTAATTAATTAATTTAATTTTACGCATAACAATTTTTTGATAAAAAAATTAGTTTTTGAAAATATGCCAGCTCAAAAAAAATTAAAAAAATCCCATTGGTAGCTCTGAGTATTGCGCAATATTTAGGTAAAGTATTATGGCGCGCACTCTACAGTAATTTGAGTTATGACTTTGTTTTACACCAAAGTGGAGTAAAATGAGTACATTACGAATTTAAAATTTATTAATTTTTTTTTAGAATTTTTTTGAGTATGCAGTTTTGTAGCCCATTGAATTTTAGTAAAGAAATGCAAGTTTTAAACAATTACAAAACTGTCGTTATTTTTTTCATTTTCTTTGAAAATGGTTTTACGCATTTTCTTTCATAAGCTAAAGGTGCAAAAAGCCGTCAGCATAAAAATATTATAAATCATCGCCAAGTATGCAAATATAGAGCATCAAAAACACTTCTATAATAAAAAAAAAACGAATTTAAATATATGGATTTTTGAAGAAACAAGAAAAATTGGAAAAAATCGTTAGCCGTTTTTATCTAAAACTACGCTTTGCCCTAAAATTTTCAAATGCTCCTAACTCAGCGAATTTTTTTTTTGTAAAACAAAAAAATACGTGTCTCTTTATTTGTCATAAAAAAGATGAAAAGTCATATTAAACTTGATTTCGAATTTTGAACCCATTCACCCTGCATGAATTGAAATAGCATCAGCCTATAGTATGTATGTTTGTGAATATTTTGGTTTTTTTTCTTAAAAAATTTGCTTGTAAAATGCTTTCATCAACTGGTTTGCTGATATGCCTACTAAAAGGTGAATATAACATTTATGCAAATACCGAACTTGTTTAGACTAATGTACGTTTGTATTCATAAATTAAATGAACAAAAGTATATGAAGCCCCAACCGACAAAAATGCGTAAGCGAAATTTTTTCAAAATTTTATTTTTGATGCATAAATGCATCTGGATGCTCTGGGAACATTTCTGCATAAACAATTTTTGTTTTGTTTTTAAATGTCGCTTACGTCTTTTTGGCGGTTAGGGCCCGATATGTATGTACATATTTGCTAAATAAATAAAAATCTTTAAGCAAATGTTTTTTTTTTTAAATTTACTGTACACATTATTTTCGACTCCAAAAAAGTTTGCAACCAGCGTATATGTACATACATACATACTATGTATGTATGAATATCTTTGATTTCAGCTGCAATTTCAAAATCAATTCACTGGCGATGACTGCTGCGCTGATTACGAATAGAGAACAACTCAAATAAGCAAGAACAACTGCTGTTTTGAAGTAAATGCATACAATGTTTGTTATTAAGAAATTATTTTCATTTGTAAGTTGCAATTCGAGGTATTAAGAAGCTGTAAACGGGCGAAAGAAAGTAAAAGTTTTCCAATAAACGAAAACAATAAGTTGAAATTTTGAGGTGAAAATAAAGCGGGAAAATCGGAATTTAGCGAAAAGTGGGTGAAACTGGAATTGCAATGGATGAAAAAAGTATGAGAAAATTCGAGTGTAATTTTGAGCTGAGCAATGAAAGTTTTAAAACTTGGTTAGACAAATAAAATATTGTCATTCAAAAGCATTCGAAATGTGTTTAATGTGTTTTGCAATCGTTTTCTAAATAATTTTGTGGTGAAGGTTGTGGTTTAGGATTTTACATACATATTTTTGTACATATGTATGTACCTCTATTTAAAATTTCAATGCTCGTGTTGTCACTATTTGATGGCGATGCAGTAAAGACTTCGACGACATTAGCTGAAATATAATTCGAAAGTAAGGTGGCAACTCTACCTAAACATAAATATTTTTCTATTAATAATCACCAAGATTAAGATATAGGCCAAATTTTTCAGAGAGTTGCCACCCGTTCATAAACCTAAAATCAATTTAATTAACATGTTAAAGGCATGGTTTTATTATTTTATTAAACGAGAAAGCTTTAAGAAAGCTTCTTCCGGAAAATGGTTTTTAGAGCATTGCCACCTGTTTTTGAGTACAAAGTCAATTTAATTTATGAAATATTTTATATGGGAATCAAATCGAGGAGAGGTTTAAGGAAGCTTAATTTCGAAAACATTTTTGAATGGGGTTGCCATCTTTTTGGAAATTTTCAAAATAAATTTAATCAAAAAGTTAAATGATTTATTGTAACATGGGTGTCAAACGAAAAAGGTTTATGTAGGCTCTATTTCTAAACTATTTTTGAAGTGGGTTGCCATCTGTTTGGGAGGTCCAAATTAATTAAATTAACGAGACAAATTACATATTTTGTATTTGTATTAAAGGAGGGTTTGAAGGAAGCTTTATTTCAAAAATATTTTTGAAAAGGGTGGCCAGTAGTTATTTAACAAATTGCTAAATATTTTTTTTTTGTGGGTCTTAAACGAGTTAGATGTAAGAAAGGTTTATTTCGAAAATAATTTTGAAGAAGTTTGCCTTTTGTTTGGAAATTCTAAACCTATTTAATTAATGAGGTAAACGAAATATTTTGATGCATGGCTGGTTATCAAACGAGGGAAAGCTTTTTTTCGAAAATATTTTTTAAGAGAGTTGGCACCTCTTTCGAATTTCAACAACCATTTAATGAAGTTAAATCAAATATTTTAATATAGGTCACAAATATTGACTCTGTCTTCAAGTATAATTTGTATCCCATAATTCCTAGGAAGGGCAAATATCGACACTGCGTGAAAGCTTGAGTATTTACATAAGTATATCACACACCATCTTCAAAAAACGCACAACTGAAAAATCAGATTCGAAAATATAACTGCTTGTGGTTGGTATATGTTCAACAAAATTAATACAGTTATAATGGTAGACTTATAGCTATAAAATTGAATTGTGTCCACTTTGAAGAAGGTGTGCATATGTATGCAGGTATTTAACAAATATTTCAAATTAATAGACTTTTTTCTTTCAGCTGTTCGGTTTGGTCAACGTCACGTACAAATATTCCTTTTATTCACTGCCATAGTTGTCAATTATGTGGCGAAATTCAATGTTGGCGTAGCTGTGGTCGCTATGACCAATGCAGCGACCACAAATCCCAATTTTCCGGTAAGTTTTAATTCTCATACTATGTATAAACCAACCTACCATGCATGGCAATAAACTAAAAACCACCCAAAGGAATACAACTGGAGCGACATGGAAAAGTCATATATACTCTCGAGCTTTTTCTGGGGAAATTTCATCACACAGTTTCCCGGCGGCTATCTGTGTCGACGTCTGGGCGCCAAACGCACCATGTTCATTTCCACACTGGGTTCATCACTGTTGGCGCTCCTACCGCCACTATGCGTCAATTGGGGCGGCTGGAGTATTTACTGTGCCATACGCGTCATACAGGGCCTATTTCAAGGTTTTCTCTTCCCCTGCATACACGCGCATCTGGCCGCATGGTGTCCGATCAATGAACGCAATCGATTGGGCGCCTTAGCCAATACAGGCATCGAATGTGGTACGCTACTCGCGATGTTTGTGAGTGGCATGCTGGCGGCTTCCAGCATTGGTTGGCCGGGTATGTTTTATATCTCCGGTGGCATGGGTTTGATCTGGTGCGTTGCGTGGCTACTGCTGTCCGCCAATAAACCAAGTGAGTCGAAATTCATTACAACAGCTGAACTCAATTACATTGATGCGTCGAGAAGTAGTATTAGAAAAAAAGGGAATGAGGATGAAGTGCCGCCCACTGCGCCGGTGCCTTGGCATGCCATCTTAACCTCGCTGCCCTTCTGGGCTTTGGTTGTTGCACGTTCAGCGCATTCTTGGGGCTTCTCCACGCTGCAGGCCGAGATTCCGTCCTACATGAAAGGTGTGCTCGATATGGATATGCAGAGTAATGCTTTCTACTCTGCGCTACCCTATTTGGCGATGTGGTGCATGTCCTACGTGTATCTGATTGTGTCGGATGTGCTGCTGACGCAAAACATACTCTCACTCACTGCCATACGTAAGACTTTTAATACATTGTCGTTTTGGATACCTGCTATGGGGTTGATCTGCATTGGGCTGTTGGAAAATGATCAGAAAATATTCGCCATTGTACTGATGATGATTAGTGTGGGTATGAATGCTGGTGCCACCATCGGCAGCGCACTAAATACGATCGATCTGTCACCAAATCATGCCGGCATTTTGATGGGGATCGTTAATGCGGTGGCAAATGTGATACCCATAATTACGCCGCTGCTTGTCGGAGTTGTGGTAACCGATGAGGTGAGTATATGCTGGTTTTTAAGTAAAACGTTGTTCATTTATTATATTCAGTCCTTTTGCAGCATAGTCGTGAGCAATGGCAAATAGTGTTCATAATAGCCGCAGTGGTGTTTGCTTTGGGAAATTTGTTCTACTTAATTTTTGGTCGAATGGAATTACAGCCATGGGATGATAATGACCATCTACGGAGAAAGGAAGTTCAGAATAGGAAGCTGGCGAAAAGGTCCGATATGATGGCGTATAAGGAGAAACCTAACTGCGTTTTTGTTTTAAAAATGGTCAAACAAAACTTTGAATAATGATATCAATTTTAGTGTTTTCATAATAATA